CCCATCTGATGCCAAGAAGAAAAAGCAAGCTGTTAAGCGGGCTGAGTATAAGGCAGCTAGGAAAGTTCTTTATAAACAGGTGAAGAATAAAAATTTACGTCAGACAAATCGTGAAGCTGAAAGAAGTCAAACTAGAGAAGTTGTAAGTAAGAAAATTGACGGTGGTATTAGAGTAAGGTTTGGCCTTCCCAAAGATTGTCAGGTTTTCCGGGTTCCTGCATTTGGACAGCCTAAAATCAGGGAAGTTACCAGAGGTACAGTGGTGTTGGTGAATCTGGCCACAAACAAATTGATTTGTGTAGTCAGATTCAATCATGAGGTACATTGGACTCTTCCTCATAAAAGTAACATATGCTGACAATAAGATGGACTGTGTAGGATCCTTCTAGCACTGATCCATCATCAATCCAGCTCTGGGAGGATTTCCGTCGAGCTATTAGAACCATGCATTTACATGCAGAGAGTAGAGGAAACCTTCCGGACAATCATGCGGTTATGGCTCTGCCTGAGGAAGAAAGGCAAGGTAAAATGAGGGGATTTGGTTTCCGGTCTACCAGACAAGCTGGCAAACACAAGTACGGAAAGAAAATTAGTAAGTAGGGATGTTTCTTCTTGCAATTGAACCTCAAGGTTCACTCTACGGTGACTGCTTTACAGGTCCTTTTGCACAGAATTCTAGCACTAGCGGTGACTTTGGTAAACTTAAGGAAGATGAAATGCGGCAAAATGATTTACCATGGGTTCATAACTTCCAGGCTGAAAGGACTTCCTCTCTCTGCTTACATGCATATGAAAGCAATAGGGAAGTTGCAATCAAAACTTGTGCTCCTTCTTGGGCTTCCAGAGAACCAGTTCCAGGGACTAAGGAATGGACAAAGTCGCCCAATGGGCAGGTGTTTGTAGGGTCAAGTACCATTGTGACCTCAGGAGGCTTCCGCAATGCCCCACATTGTGACTTTGATGCCACTGGGTTTGCATCCGGGTTCTTTTGTTTGATTGATGCTTACACATGTTGAGTTTTCTTTGTATTATACTTGTCACCATGTGTTTAATTAACTGATCAACATGTCTATAGCCAATATCATTTCACCAGAGAGACGATTGGCACTGCGGGCCCAAAGGGCCGAAGAATTGTTGGAAGAAAAGAAGACTGGGAAGTATGTCCAGAAGGAACATCCTGAAGTTGGTGCTCAGTTTATCATGGTGGTTGGGCATTTTGAGTTTAAGATAGATATCAATGCAGCAGATTTGGTAGAGTTGATTTGGGCGACTGACGTTAATCATTACACTAGTCATGCACTTTTTTCACTAGAAGAGCAAAAAAAGTTGACAAGTTTAAAAGCAGCAATTACCAGGCAGAAAAATAAAGCTAGGACTGTTGGTCAATCCGGTGGGACCATGAGTCTTGATGGTCAGCATGTGGTGGCCTATGCTTCTTGCTCTCAAATCACATCAGCAGTTGTACAAGCAATGAATAATATCATGGATATGAGGGGGGATATGGATGATGACGCTTGGGAAAGATACCATCCTACAATTGCTGGAACATATGATGAGCAGCTTGAAAGGAAGATTGACTCATATCACCAATCACACGGTTCTGTTCTAAAATATTTACAATGATTTCTTTTCTTTATCTCAATAGTATGTTTAAAAATGAATTGGAAAGAGTATGTGACCCTACTGATACTTTTGAGTCCCTTGTGGAACCTGAGATTGATAGGCAGATTTACCATATAGTATCTCAACTTCATTATCAGAGTCCTTTGAGTCAGGAAGACACACTAAACCCATTAAATCACATACTTTACCACACTTATGTTGGTCCTTAAAGTTTCTCAAACCCTTCTTTCCTGTATTTCCTTCACTCCAAGTTAACCTGTGCAATGCAATACTCAAATACTCAGCTACTTACAATCAGAGGGATTAGTAATACGGAGTGGGACTTACAAACTATCATCCACAATCAATGGGTCAGTAAGGACACTTCCTACGCCTTGCAGGTCAGCAACTATCCGCTTGCCACTATAGTATTGGTATGACCAATGAGTCAGTGCATGCATCACATCATGAGTCATGTCACCTTCTGGCCCACGACACTCAAAGTTGACATTGCTAGTATACTTGCAATAATTCTTGACGTCAAGCAGTTCTTCAAAGAAATATGCTGAATCTGGACTCATACTTCTCCCGGAGTAGGCTGGAAAGTTATTTACAATCTGCAATATTCAATATGGTTAGTATCATACTAGACATCAAGCTAGTGCCTAGACTTACACGTATGTCGCCAATTATTCTTGCTAGATGAGGGGAGAGCTTGATCCTATCAACTTCCAATGCCTTTTGCTTGAATTGCTCAATAACACTTGCGACCGCCGCATAAGTTCCACCGGATTCTCTGTGAACATCCAGCACAGATTTACGGTACGGCAAAACCATCCGCTTTTTAGCCACCATAGGTATCACATCACCTGTTGCATCCTTTCCAAAGGCTTTGTAGCATATCCTGAAACCGCCTTCACCAATTTTGATACTCTCATCAACCTTGAAATAATACTGAACTGCCTTCCATTCGGGCTTTCCTTTGGAATTAGATTGCATGTGTAATCTCTTTCCGTCAATAAAACCATCTGATGTAGGATTAGATGGAAGTGGTGCAGCCATTGGAAAGTTTTGCCCAAAGGCAGAAATGTCCATGGGTGCACGGAAATCAAAGGCTACAACTACAAACAAAAATGGAATGTCAGATTGTTGTTGTGAATTCAGAGCAGTGAGCTTTCACTTACGTATGTGATTTGGTGGTACTACCTCGGTGATTTGTGCTCTTTCATCAATTGCATTTAAGTGCCTCATGTTGGGCGGAGGAGTGAAAAGTGGTGGTAGAGAGCTTAAGCTATTATTATTGGTCTGACTTTTAAAAGGCCTGACAGGTCGGTTCGACTTTGAGGTTGTAGCCCTTTTGGTGCGGGTTAGGGGTGGTGAGGTGATTCGAGTAGAAGTTGAAGGGGTAGATTTGGATTTCTTTCTAGTGGTTTTGCTCAATGAATATCTAGCAGTACCGAGAGAATTGTCACTACTGAAGTAATCGTCAAGCTCCTGATCTGAAATAGTCAGTTCTTCCAAAGCTTTTCTTTTGCCTCTTTTAGTCTTAGCCGTAGTCGCTGAGGTGAGAGGTCTAGCGATATTGGGATGGGCGGAATAATACTTTTCAGCAAGGAAGATAAGTTCAAGAGCTGGTTCGCCTTTGGTGGTGTCTAGGTGATTACCAAGGACTTCATCATCGTGCAAAATACAGGGTGGCATTTTACCTTTGCCAGGCTTGGCCAGAGAAAACCATTGAGGATCGTATTCAAGAGGTGGTTGAGGATATTTGTTGTCAGATACCGGTGTGTGGTCCCAAAGGTCAAAAATCGCTTTCTTTGTTGGGGCTAAGATAGATCTAAGATTCCTATTGACATTAACAATTCCACGGACCAAACTGTGGGTGTGATGCTTGTTGTTATACTGAACCATCCATCCAACAGAGCATGCACGCCCAGCTGGTGTAGAGAACGGTGCTGGTTTCGGAGCTGCTGGGTGACCATACATTCGCTTGCTACTAGCTTGAGCTCGGAAAGCGTCCCGGTCGGCCTTCTTTTGATGCAGTGAATTGACATGAGAGCCAGTAGAGACGGATTTCGCAACAATCGATTGGGCTGCAGCTCTAGCAGCGGCGATCTTAGGAGCAGGAGGACGAGTTGAAGACTGAGATTGCAAGCCGGGTGGTTTTTGAGCATTGGAATGCTCTAAGTTTGACTCTAGGCAAGGTCTACAGATCCTGAGTTCTCCAGAGCGTAGAGTTGAGGGACATAGGGCACATTGAGAATGCTGTGTGTTGTTCATGATGTGGTGTGAAAAGAAGGGTTGTATGTGAGTCGGATGGTCTTGAGTTGGTTTGACAAGTTAGACTTTGTGGAATAGGTGAAAGCTGATAGTGATCGGTTGTAAATTTTCTCTATGGTTGACTCGGTAGGGATTGTAGTAATGATCACATTAGGTTTTGATGGGTGTGCATTTACCCAAAAGGTGAACTTGTGGTCCGGTTAGGTATTGGGTTTTGTTGTTTTATACATATGTGAAGTTTGACATGATGAAAATCGATTTCTTGAAATTTTCATGTAATATTTGTGCCAAAGTGCCAAGTCGGTGGTCAATATTTGAGTTGTGGTCTGGAAATTGTGAAAACTGGCAGAAAGGTAGGTTTTATCCCCAATACAGGCGGTTTCAGACCAGTATTAGGATTAAATCCGATGTTTATTCCAGTTTTGTCAATTTCTGACCCGGGGATTCTGAAATTTTGATTTTGAAATTTCAAGTTGTCACTTTGGCACATGTCGCATTCCGTAGCTGAGTATGTCACAACTGTTGGGAGTGGAATAGAGCCTTTCAAAGTGAGTCGAGCAATAGAAAATCAAATTTATTATCAAGACGATTGGAATTCTGACAAGACCTTTTGCTTGCAGGGTAGCGCTACACTCTCGTCAACGTACGGTGTCAAGATCTCATGATCGCCTCCCTTGTGTAAGATTTTTCCCTCTCAAAAGTAGCTTGGGTACTTTTTTCTATTGATCTTTGTACATACTTCTTCTTATCATGATGCTGTGCTGAAAATTACTTCCATCGTTAGCAAGGATTTATTTCTTTTAGTGACGAGGTGCTAGAGGGGTCCCAGCGTACTATGGGGTATACGTCGATGGTAAGCTCTGGATATTATGCATTCAATGGATAGGCTTCAAACATTTGTGTTTGCAAAGACAACATAAATTGCCTTGGGGAAACATTTGACATGCAATACGCTCGTTAAACCTTGTAGAGTTGTATTTGTCACACAATTTGCCAATCAGAGCACCGCTAAGAATGCAAGGCTTTGAAACCTCGTTTGTATTTATTGAGTGACAATTCATCTTTTCATTAAACCAGACATGATACGCTGAAACGCAGTTTTAGCCCGATGAGATCAGCTACTTTGACAAATTAACAGATGGCTTCACAGATCCTGGTGGTATTCTAGAACTTCCAAGGCGTGCAGGACTTCCCGGCAATCCTGAACGCCTCGATATGGAACTTATATTAAGTGTTCCTCTCTTCCTAATTGCGACACCTGGTCTAGTCAGACTTTTTTCGGTTTCGTCTCTCATCTGGGGAGTCATAGGAAGCATCGCTTCGTCTTCTTCCTTGAACAATTTCGACATCACACTCATCCTTGTCTTTCGTCTCGTACTTTTTGCTCGAGTTCCGAACCTTAGTCGATCACCTGTTTGTAATTTGGCTTCCTTGATGGTTCCTTGTTTTGAAATCTCCCTCTCTGTATTGCCATCTGGATCTTGAAGCCACAGAGAATGGTATTCTGATTCATCAGAAAACTCGGGTTGAGAAGAGATATAAGCCATCAGATCGATCACTGATCTTGATTGATCAATGGTGACGCTGAACTTGGGAGCGGGTGAATTTGTGTTGGTTGAGAAGACAGAAAGTTGAATCTGGCCTTTTGGTATGAGTAGTAACCGCAGCAGCTGCTTCTGAGACAATTTCTCCGAAATCTTGGCTCGTGGTTCTGTTTCTTCAACGTGATCCGCGTCAACTGTCTCGATAGCTGTGGGTTTTCAAAGTTTCAAGGTTAGAACGATGCGTACGACTGAACAGAGGAACTCGTATGCTTACTATTATTCTGACGCGAAGGTCCAAATTCGGCGGTATCAGCTAAAATCAATGGATCTGAAGCTGTGGTAACGGATGTCTCTTCCGTGGGCAAAACGTCCATGCACTGGATGTCTTCCAAAACTTGATCTTCACTCGTCTTGCTTTCAACGGTGAGGCCTCGGTGGGAGATCGAAATGATCTGTGAGTCTGACTGCTCTTGTTCTCGTTTTCTTGCCCGGAGTTTCATTAACGCTAGTTTGGCAGATGATAACTGTTCCAGTCCCTCAAGCTTGGGGTTACCTTCATGATAGCTTTCGGCTGCCTTTTCTGTCGTGACTTGCGGTCTAGTCTCTGGGTTCTCGGGGATCAGCTTTTCCACTACGAATTGGTTTTCGTCTTCTAGCTCATATGGGGACTTTAAACCAAATAATTTTTCTGGTATTTCGAGTCCATGAGTCGGCACTGAGAGATGAGATTCGCTTGGCGAGGCAACCATGAGCAGAGGGCCATGGGGGAGGCGGGTAACCAAAGGAAAGGACGAAATACTCGGAACTGGACTGTTTGTCAGATGACTCGGATCATAGCCAAGACCTTGAGCTGGACTCTCAAGCGTGAAGTAGTACGATGGACTAGATGGTGCAGACAAGGAGACTGGAGTGACAGTGAGCCTTCGGGTCAAAGCTTCTATATATGTTCCCTGAACCTCCTTGTCTGAGAGATACATGATTATGGATGTGAGGGGGTTGAAGCTTACCCAGTGGTTTTAAGGGGGCCGTATCATCTGTTTCTACCTGGACGGTAACGTTTTCATTCTGGTGCGAGAAAATTTCCACTTGTTCATCATCATCACTATCATCTTGATTGAAATAGGGTAATTCGAGGGGATGGTCAAGAAGTGGAGGTAGGAATGGTGCGGGAGACTCGGAAGTAGGTGAGATGGCGAGGAGTGAGTCGAGCATAAGTTGAAGATTATCCCAGTTTTCCGGTTGAGATTGACTCTCTTGAACGGGTTGATCCTGCAGCCGTGTGCCCTGATCAAGGTTTTGATCTTCTTGCTCCGCCTCTGGCCGTACCGATATTTCCAAAGGTGGTTCTGAGTGAGGTAAAGATGGTGAATCGGGCGTTCGACCTTCATACAGGTGTGGGTTTGATCAGTACATCATATTAGCTAGTAAGGACTTGTTGCAGTTTAAAACAAAAACGGAAAATGAACTGACCTACGGAAACATCTACCAGATATGTGTTGGGTTTTAATGGAGAAAGAGGAACGCGTGCTTGAGGAGAAATCAAAGGCGAACGCGGTTTATCTTCGATAGGTTTCGGAACGGGTTTTTCACGGCGGTCTAATAAAGATCGCGGGTTAGCAGGAAGTTTTTTGAGGGATGAGATATGTAAAGGTTTGCGTGGTAGAGGAATTGGTGAAACATTTTGTTTGACATTCTCATGGTAAAATTGTTCATCTGTTAGAGCTTTCTTGTGTTTTGTCTTGGTCGCCACTTGAGTTGTTTTGAATGTCGCTTCTTCACTGATGAGCATGGTGCGGCCACTGGAAGAAGCGGACCTAGAAATCGGCTGAGAATCTGAGTCAGGTCGAGTTGTGGAAGAGCTTGATATGACGTTGGAACTCTGGGTGATGATCAGATGTGTATTAGGACCCAGCCCTGGCCATGAAGATGGAGTGACTTCGGCTAAGAGACTACGATGGTCACATCCAAGATGATGCAAGCAGGCGTGGAAATTTATAAGTTTTGGTTCAAGACTCAGGTTGAATAGGTCTTTCACTTCTGTTTTGGCCGTCTGAAAAGCAATAAGGATGGAGGAATCTTTGAATCAGTTATGCTGGACAGCCTGTGTGTGAGCTTGTGTGTGAGGTAGATACGAAGGGTGCTTACATCTAGACAAGGCGGTTTATGAGCTATGAGATGGCGATTTTCATAGCTGAAGACGAAGTTCATAGGCGCAAGATCTGACATCCTGCCGCCGCCGGTAGCGAGACGGAACTGACCAGATTGACTATTAGTGTTCAGAAATAAGAGCAAGCTATCCCGTGGCCAGTTGCGAGAATTTTCTCAAGACGATACGAAGATGAAAATTTGGATAAAGAAATTTAGATGTGCTCAATTGTTCTCGTGGAGTGAATAATCTCAGAGAGAAAGATGATCATGAGGCCTGATGAGGCCGAGTTTCGGTAACCACAACAAATATTGAGTCAGGCGGAGTATTATCGACGAACGCCTGGGTTAGCTGAGGACGGTTGAAAAGCTGGGCAGCCTGCTCGAAGATATCATAGTCTTCATCGTTCACCACCTGATCATGGACCTGGTCTCAAAGGTCAATCTTGTCTTGAACTTGACTTCATATCAATCGAAGTCTCGAAGAGCCAAGGGTCACAAACAAAAACAACAAGCTCAAGAAATTCAACAAAACCAATCAATCATATTTCCAACCACTCATTAATGATTATCCACAATGCTTCGAGTTACATCTGCAGACCCCTGCATAGTTTCTACAGAAGCAATTTGTTCCGTAGAATTTGCAGAGCGCCATCGCGAACGTATTGCATAGCTTTCGACAAGCCTATGGGGCTCATGAGCAACCTAAATCGAGAGTATTGCATGTCGAGGATACAAGAAACAGTGAGCATATATAAAAAACTTGACAAGACCACAACCAGAAGCGCTCTCTCCGGCGCATCTCCAAAGAATTGGAGCCTGCGCGAAGCGCGGATCGTGAAAGTGCGGAATTCATAGATACCACTGCTCTCAAAGAGCACCGTCCGATTTGGGAGATCAGCTTCCTTTGGACAAGTTTCATCCTACATCACCTGAAAAGGAGAAAGAGACTGGGAATGAGGGAAACATAGGAAATGTATCAACTTCCCACCATCCATTAACCAATGTTGTTAACAACTTTGGTATTGATTCTTGACGCCCATGATGCAAACATCATGTGATTGCTAACCGTTCAAGACATGGTGAAGTTCCTCTGTGTCAGTTATCCCAAAGACCATAAACTGCACATATTGGCACTATGACTTTTTGATGGAGCAAAAGTTGTAGCGGAGGTCAACATGTTGCACCTTCAGACAACCAGTTAGCAATAATTTGAACTTGAAACCCCTTACTACAATCCAGCGTAAAATCCAACCATCCCATAGGAACGTTCGATTTTGCGCACTTCTCATTTTACGCTACTTATTGGGCGTAAATCGATTAGCGCAAAATCCACCCACCCCGTCAAGTAACTCCAAATTTAACGCAAACCATTGCGGATGCTCTCATGCCAATGGGCAGTGACCAAAAGTCCTCAAAAGTCCTAGCTTAACACAAGCCCCCACTGCAGAGACGTCCCCCGGAGCCTGCGGAGGGGGCTTGCGACTTATCGGTGATTTTTGGTCTGATGCCGGATTTTGTTTGGCAGGGGCTATCTTCAAGATTCATTTTACCCGTCTTCTGTCTGAGAAACCGCCCAAAAGCCTTCTATGAAAGTTGTAGAGCAGATTTTTCTGCATCTTTTGGCCTCTTCAGAATATTCTGAAGTGGCCACACATTGATTGAACTGAAGCATTTCAAAAAAAGAAAAATCAAATTTTAATGGTGATTGATAAAGGACGCCGGCTTCAAAAGACAAACGACGCCGGTTTCCGTGAGTTGGATTAATTTGGAAGTTATACAGTTTGGAAAACCCTGGGAAACCTGTAAAGTGCTCCAAAGGCTTCAGAAATATTCTGAAGCTAGTTTTTGGGATTGTGTACAAGTCGGCGTCATCCCTTTTGGATTGTTTTAAAGCTCTGACGCCGATTTCTTTCATCTTTGACACCGTAAAAGATGAATAGATCCATAGAGTGCTTTGACCCCTTGCTACTGCTCATTAGCAAGACCTGTATGTACCATATGGAGAGAGATCGAGTGAAAAAATTGCAAGGTAACTTTTGTTCACTCCAAACAACAACAAAGCAGTCAAACCAATCTCCCTTAGTTACATCCTATCAAAACAATCAAAGACACGATCCCATGTACTCTGATATGCATCCATATCACGACTCTGACAGCAATCAACAACTTTTCAATCAATTTTTCCCAGGACATGATACTACGGATCATTATCCTGCAAAGCCATCTCACTACCCTAGCTCTACTAGACAGATCTCCTACCAAAGCAACCACGACTTGAATTTAGGACTTGAAGACCGGACTGCAATGGGAGGTGAAGATGATGCAGATGGCGAGACTGATGAAGACAAGAGCAATGAAGAAAACACAGAAACTTTCATCCAAGAAGAAGAGATAGATAGAGAGATGTCAGATAATGAGTCTGAGAACAATGATAATGAATCCGGAAAAAGTATGTACTTAATCAAGTTTACAAATGACCCTTAGTTGATCATTTGTTGTTTTGTCAGATACGAGTGATGACAAAGAAGATGAAATTGATCAGATTGATGAAGACTGGCCTGCCCGCGGTAGGTTGTTTGATTGAACTGCAATTACTTTGGTTTGAGGACTACCCCAGTCTGACATATGCGTATTCTATGCGTATTCTGATACCCTATCAGGAGTTCAACCAGAGCGAGGGCTGCACCCCCCACGGGAAGGCAAGACCTTTAAGTCCAAAGAACTTGGCCAAAGATACCTCGAGGCTCATGCACAGCATCAAGGTTATGCAATTGTAATCAAGTCCAACAAAGGCCCTCTTCGCCAGAGCCGATATTTCTACTGTACTCGTGGTGATCAGAAGACCAAGCATGCTGCATCTGCATCTGCATCTGTTCAACCTCATACTAATAATATGTTAGGCACGTCAAATACCGATAAGGACTCAAAAAAACCACGTAAGAGTAGTACAGCCAAAACGGGCTGTGGTTTTGGAGTTTCTCTCAACTACTTGAAGAAACAAGGTCATTGGAAAGTTAAAATCCAACATGCTCGTCACAATCACAAACCATTCAAAAGAGCAAATGACATACCTCGCCTGCGCCGCTTTAAACCAAAAGAGCAAGAATTCATTCACACTTTAAAAGAGGCCAATGTCCGTTCTCGAACCATCCGACACATGCTTCCAGGTGAAAGTTCTCATCGACCAATGCGAGATATATACAATCAGACAGCTCGCTATCGAAGGACTGAACTTGGAGGTAAAACATCCATAGTCAATCTTATTACACGACTTCAAAAAGAAAATTGGTTTTACAAAATGAAGCTTGGACCTAATGGAGCTGTTGAATCTCTTTTTTTTGCTCATCCAACTGCAATCGAGATGGGACGTCGCTTTCCTTATTGTTTTGGACTAGATTGCACCTACAATACCAACAAACATCACCTTCCACTCTTACATATTGTTGGATCAACTTGCTTCAATTCATCCTTCTCACTTGCTTTCTGCTTCATGCAAAAAGAAGATCGCCAGGAATATACTTGGGCACTTCAACAGCTTGACAAACTCTTCAAGCCACATGACACTCGGCCAAAGGCTTTCGTGACCGACAAAGAACAAGCACTTATTGGAGCAATCTCCGATGTTTTTCCAGGAAGTGAACATATCTTATGTTTGTGGCATATCAACAAGGCCATCTTGACTAAATGCTCTTCTATCATTACAGTTAAAAAGGAATGGGACGAATTCTATGATTCCTGGCATATTTTTGTAGCTTCTCGCACTCAAGAAGAATATAATGCTAACAAATCCAAGCTTATTCAGATTGCACAGCGTCACTCACCTACAATCCTTCAGTATCTTCAGTCAAACTGGTTCCCGATAGTAGAAAAGTATGTGAAAATGTTTGCAAATGATTTTCTTCACTTTGGAAACCAAACCACCTCGCGTGTTGAAGGTTCTCATAGTTTCATCAAAAGCTTCCTTGAATCTTCTGTTCAGGACTTGTTAGCTTGTTTCAAAGCTTTCAAACTAGCCATCACGCATCAAAACACCGAGTTCGAATGCCGACTCACCAGCGAGCTCCAACGAAGACTCAATAACGTCAATGACTGTTTTAGTTTATTACACACCGAGGTATCTCAATATGCCATTGGATTGGCTACCGAGCAGCATGCCCTGATTGGAAAACCAAGTTGAAAACCTTGCACGAAATCGTTCTCAACCTCTTATGGAATTCCTTGCTCACACCAAATAGAAGCCTATATTGTCCTCGGCCAAAAAGTTCCCATTGAAGCCTTTCACAACCAGTGGCGATTGATTGCTGAACCGATTCCAGAATCATTGGATGCTTTGAAATCTGACTTACAAAGCAAGGCTGAAAGTTTATGTAGTCTGCCCGAACATGCCTTACGAAGAGCGTACAATGAACTTCTCAAAGTGCAGAGTGGTGGATACGAACTGGTACCAATTGGAGCCCCTGCAACTAAGATTAACACAAGAGGTCGGCCAATTGGTTCCAAGAAGAACTGGTCAAAGTCTAAAACAACACCGCGAGATCCTTCGGCTTTCGAATACCTAGCAGCTCCCAAAACAAAACCTCCTTGCAAGTGTAGTAATTGTAAGAACTCTGGGCACAGGAAAGACAAGTGTCCACTCATACCTCACCCACACGAACCCACATTGGAAGAACTTCAGCTCGATCAACATGATAACATGGTTGATACAGAAGCAGATCAAGTGGCCTCTACATCACGCAGCAACGGTCCTGAATACGAGAAAGATGATTCTGACTCCGAATTTGGTTCAACCCTTGGAAATATACCCAAGGAGCTCAATCCTGATTCAGATTTGGAGGTAGAAGAAAATTCTCCTATGTGTCCTTTCTGCGACAAAACTCTTCCATCTCAGCTTTCGGAGAAACTTCAAAGTCTAATGGAAACACTTACCAAACAACCAAATGCCAAGAAGACGCCTCGGCCAGGAAATCCACATGCGGTATCTCTTCCTGTAAGTTTCACTTGGGCTCGGCTGCCTACACACATCCAGTTTAGTCTAATGCCTACACACATCCAGTTTTCTAATCAACATCTGTTTTTATTTCATCAGATGTCTGAGACCATAGCGTTCTGTGCAATGCATGACGCTGAAGCGAATGATCTTCCAATCGGGTTGGAGAATGGATGGCCTTCCTCAATCGATTTTGATGATCTATCCAGGTAAATAGTTGAACCTTTGAATATGAACACCGTGTGATCTGTCTAACATTGTTAACTAATCCGCCCTGATTCTAGACGTGTACAGACATTCATCCCTGATCTGCAACAGATCATCAATGGCAATATCAAAAGCGAGTACTTAAATGGCGCGTTACACATCTTGCAGACTCATGGCACACGGCGAATGGATAGCGTATGGCACGGTGATCTCACTTTTGAGCTAGAACAACCAGGATAGTGAGCATTGTACTCTTCAATCTGTTTCTCATCTTCAGGAAGCTGATGTTGAACTGTAGTTATGGGGGGCAAGGCTTAGAAATCATTTACCAAACTCTTCATTTGCATTTTTTGCACCCCAAAGCTCCAAATCGATTAAAACACACATCTCTTAGTCCCGAAAGCTGGGTCCGAACAGTTTTGATTCCCGAGGTGTCTCTAAGGCTGATCGCGAATGATCTCAAGGTATCTATCTCCGATCCCAAGGTTAAAGAAACGCTCGAGAGCTCTTGAGCATACGGGATGGCCATGTTTCCAGCTGTCGATGACAACTTTTGAGAATCCACGATATCGGATGTCTTGTCTTCATCAATGGACCTATGTATTGAAGACCCTCCACTTGCTGGAAGACCTTACCAAGGTCTGATGCGATGTATATAGATCAAATGTAAAACAATCAAGACTATACATATGATGAATCCAAATTTAAGCATTCTCCTTGCCCTTTCAGTTACCTTTGTTTTTACTTCTCAAGTGGCCTTGAACTTTAAGAATAACTCATCAAAAGATTGATGTATGTGCAAGTGCTATACTCTCTCTTGATGACACTGCGCGTGAATCTATGTAAGGAAAGCAACCATTGGACGGCTCTCCTTTTGCAAACAAACAAGCCAATCTACCCTTGATATTACCGCAAAACCTGAAGTCGGCGTTACAAAATTGGGAAGTCGGTGTCGGACAGGTTTACACCGACTTTAAATGATGACGCCGACTTGTACACAATCCCAAAAACCGGCGTCAGAATGCTTCTGAAGCCATTGGAGTACTTTACAGGTCTCTCAAGTTTTTCCGAACTGTATAGCTTCCACATTAATCCATTCCGAACTGTATAACTTCCAAATTAATCCAACTCACAGAAACCGGCGTTGTTTGTCTTTTGAAGCCGGCATCCTTTATCAATCACCATTTTAATAGGCAATACTTCTGCGACTACATGTGGATTTACATGCACGTAGATAAACACTACACAAAATGTCATCTTTACCGGGCGGTAAAGAAAACTACTGACATAGAAAAGTCCTGAGGCAACAGGAAGAGAGCTAAAAATCTGAAAAAATATGCACCTTGTTCCTAGATGTTGGGGCGTCATGACGAGTATTTTTTTGTATTTTACACACAGATATTGGTTAATGTACTAACAATAAAGGCTGAGAATGCTCCATCTTCTCAGTCTTGTCTTCTCTCCCGGCGGCCCATCATGGACAGTGATTCTGACTTAGACACAACAGAGTTCAGCCTGGATCCCGGACTCGAAAATTCACAAGTAATCACACCTGAAGAACCTCAACTTGTAGAAAGAATCTGTCAATACTTGAAGACACAGAACACCGACACCAAGACATTCCTTCTATCTTATCTGCGCTCAGTAAATTCCAGCATTATCAAGCGACGTAAACAGTGGGGATCAGTAAAACAAGGATGGAAAACTACTGAGCAAGTGCTAGATGAAATAGAAAATGTGGTTAATCAGAAAGCTGACTGTCGAGCCAAATGGAACGAGTGGGTTTTAAAAAAGGTGTGCTGACTGTCAGTACTTCATATCATCAGGTATCTAACTGAGAGCTGATTGCATACTAAATATCCTTAGGCAAAATCTATTGTAGCTCAACAGTCTCCGCCTAAACCCAGCCTTTATATAAACATCAATAAACTCAACACCTCCTTTTTCAGTCACAAAAATACTCTTAAAAGAGAAGAAGTTGCAGTCAACAACTCAGACTTCTTATATCAATTAATTACATTCAAACTTGAACACGGACACCTAGCCTGGAAGGCTGAGCGAAATCGCAGGAACACAAAGGACTCTGGTGCCTGTGCGGATTCTGATAGCTCAGATTCAGATGCGGACCCGGCGTCACTCACAAATGACTCAGCTCAAACTTATGAATTTAGAAAATCTAACGACAAAGTAAAAAGAGCAAAGGATAGATTATCAGCGGTGAGAGGGGTTGTATCATCTGAATAAAACTCTTTCCAAGATACTGACATTTTGCTTCATATCATACAATCACAGATTGCTTTGACTGTTATCCAGATGCTTAATTTTGGATGTAATCGCCGATGTAATGGACTGCAAGTTGAAAACACAATCACATTACTTGCCTGTGGGGTTTCTGAGCGGGTGAATCAGTACTTGCACCACATTGGCTTGAGTGCCAGTCGAAAATCAGCTCTCCGTGGGCTCTTAGTACTGTCAAAAGAAAAGGCGATAACAATCAAGCAGAAGATCAAGTTGGCCGGTGTTTTTGGTTTCCTTCTATGCATTGATAATCTTGATATGATGGAAAGAGTACATAGTCGCAAGGTTGATGCGACAAGCAAAACTTATCATGGTACATGGGGTTACATTCACTATCTTGACCCAAATACACTTGCTAGCCTTGATGGATACGACTGTACAGTGCCAGCGTTTCAAAAAACTCTCAAAGACGATTTCTCAAAGCCAGTCGATTCAGGCGATTTCAGGCCAGACGCAGACGAACACAAACGCTGGGGCCTGACCTTGAGGAACCAGGTGGCTCGAGTCCTACTGACCTACATGAAAGAACCCGACAAATACAAATCTCTTCCGGTGTTGAACCTGTCACCAATCGATCAGATCAAAGCAGAAAAACCAAACATCGACATGCTGGAACTCATGGATTCATCTGACAACGGTTCTGATGGAATAGCATCACTATATGAAGAACTGATTAAACAGACTGGTCTGACACCCGATGATTTTTCAAATCGATTACAAATCATAGAAGGCGATCTTGGGACGTGCTTAAACTTCCATGGCTTAGAAAGGCAACGAATCCCCTCAAAATCGCCGGATGAAGCTCTTTCTCACCTCATCATGGTTCCCGGAGCAGGACACACCTTGTGGAACATCGCGCAGGCCATTCTGTTACATCACTGGGGTGATCCGGAGGATAAGGAGGATCTTGGTGCTTGGAGGTCAGCTGTTGAGTTGGGGGCAGATAAAGCTAACCCCACGGCGAAGAAGGACTTTACTTCAATGATCCGATTGATTGAGCAAATCCATGAAGCATCAATCACGCATTGTATATTGTGAGTACCATTACATTGCTCATTTGGACAACCAATGCTCGTCACTGCCAACATATTTGACTCGGACAGCAAAATCCGAGGAGTCCTCGGATGTTGTGTCCGAGATTTCAACCGAGTTATGCCAACCGAAATAATATCGACTTGTTCAGACCGACTTAATCAGACTGAGTTAACCATCCGATCATCAACCAACCCTATCCCAAACCGACATATCATCCAACTGAATCCAACCGACGATTCTCCGACTTGATCACCGAGTAAATCCCTTCTTCCGAACCAACATCAGCGAGCCAAAAATTGACCGATGATTTTGATTTTCGAGGTATGACGATTAGGAAACCAACCTTTAGTTGAATCCCATGGTTAGTTACCTCGGAAGCATTAGTTTTACACGACTTGATGCCCTTTTCAACCGAGGTTTTATAGCTCAAATCCGACCTATCTACCAACCCAATCCATCTCTCCACCGATCCGACTGTACCCTACACCTCACCGAGATCACCTTTTGAAGATGTATATAAGCCAAAATCCAAATATCAATACCACGACAAAACAATTTCAAAGAACTCACCAATCCTGCAGTGCCAACAATCAAAGCCAGTTTAGGTGAATTTGATCATGGTTTAAGTGAGTTTTTTGATTATGATACCTTTTAATTTATGTCTCACACTTAAGCCTTGATAGTTAACAGTCTATCTCTTGATTCGATTATAGGTTTATTCATTTTGAAAACAGACCAATCACTCTACGCTCTTTTCCACACTTCAATCAATCTTCAACCACATCTAGTGTAAGTTTTTCACTATCAATCTTTTTGAGACATCTCTTGTATGGAAGCATTGATGAATAACAGTCTGTCTTTTGGTTTGCTTCTAGGTTGATTCATCTTACATACCAATCCAACACTTTCAAATCTTCCAAATCAAAAACTTCAATCAAACTGTGATCATTTCTAAGGTAGGTTATTCACTCTGACTTCTTTTGACCCATCATTTCTACTGAAGTATTAATAATAAATAGCTTTTCTTTTGATTCGCTTCTAGGTGAAATGACTTAAATGACTTTTGAAACAATCTCAAACCTTTCCAAACCTCAAAAACAAATACTGCAATCAATCCTCAACCATCTTTAATATACAGTAAGTTCTTCACTTGGACTATCAATTCATCTCTTATATTGAATTACTGATAATGAATGGCTTGTCAGTTGATTCGCTTCTAGGTCAATCCATTCTCATAACAAATTAAACCCTCTCCAAACTTGAAAAACACACACTTGAATCAATGTTCAACCATCTGTTTAGTAAGCTTTCAACTGTGACCACTGTCAATTGACTTCTTATGATTAGGTGTTAATCATTGTTTTTTTGTCTGCTGTTTCGCTTCTAGCCTCTTTCATCTTACAAACAAACACAACACTCCCCAAACTCCAAAAGCGAACACTTCAATCACTTTCCAACTATCTATGAAGTAAGTTGATCATTCTGACTTCTGTCCATTCATCTCTTATACTGAAGTTTTCATAAATACTATTCTGTCTGTTTATTTGATTATGGGTCAATGTATTTTACAAACAAACCAGCACCTTCTATACTTCAAAAGCAAGCATGTCAATTAATCTTCACTGCAGTTAAAGGAAGTTTTTAAGTTGAGGTATTGAAGGGAAGCTTTTCACTCTGGTTTCTTTTGATCTATCTTTTGTACAAAGTCTTGACTAGTATATTACTGATGGGGATCACAGCCCCCAAATCATATTTTGCCTTGCTGAATTAGAGTTACCTGTTTGTATATTGAAATTGAAATTCAATTTGAATGTCAAAAATTATTACATGTTAATGAGGTGACAATCTATTGAAATAAGATATTCACTGTTGACCCAAAACGCATAGCATTTCAATTTTAAGACATGAAGGATTTGAGGCCTTAGGAACATGTGGAGGCAGCCACATGATGATTTGGAATATGTGCTATAGAGCCCTTGATTGATTGAACACCAACAGTGGTCTTTGCAGATGGTATGTATTGCATAGATTGTCAAGTTCTTATAAACACATACATCTGAAAGCAGCCAGTACAAAAAGCAGACAAAACAATGTACAGTAGATTTCATAAAGGTTGATATTGACTTGTTCTCAACATTCAGAGATGGTCCGTGCGCTCCACAGATATATTGTGACAGTTGTCCAACTTACCTGCCTGATCAAACAAAATAAACATAAATAAATGTGGTTGTCTAGACAAAAAGAACTGCATCTTCAAAAGTGGTGTGGCTTCATCAGAGTCCAAGCTGTAGATTTGAGTCATAAACTACATACACTACCTACACTATATACAATTAGGGTACTCAAAGTAAGTATGTACATGTACATACTTTTCAATGCATACTTTTTTTTGGCGGGGAGACCGAGGCCAAAAGTATATTTTTTTCTTTTTCCCCGCCAAAAAAAAGTATGCACACAAAAGTATGTACGTGTGCATACTTACTTTGAGTACCTTAAATATATACAATATATACAATATATGCAATATATAGTATAATGCATACAATGCATAGAAGATTCCAATACAAAAAGAGCAAAGACTCTTGAAAAACAAAACACTACAACTTCATGTGTTTATCTTTTTTTTCAAAACTGAATCCCAAGCCTTTTTAACAATACACCATCGATATACCATGCATATCACATACTCCTTACATGTCTTGTGTACTGTAAATACGTAGAAAACACAATACATACAGTACATACAATACACAATACATACCATGTACACTGCCTACAGACAAAACACAATTGACACAATACACAATACATACCATATACACTGTACATACCATACATACAAAACATACAAAACATACAAAACACAACACATACCAAAGCAAATAGTGTCATTTATTTATACACATACACACAGAATGATAAATTCCTTCACTGTCATGGAAAAGTTGTAGGCAATCATAGATGCAACTTTTGTTTACCAAAGGGTGTGTACAATACAAACAATACATGTGATACATAAGAGTCCAAGTTGTAGATTTGAGTCATACACTACATAAACTACATACAATATATACAATATATACAATATACAGTATAATGCATACAATACATAGTACAATGATACAATACCCATGAAGTGTTTAAGAGGAGTGCTTGATTTTGCCCACTGTGAAATCCAATAGTGTTTCAAGCAATTTAAATGACCATAGTACTATCACTGCCAACATATTTGGCTTGGACACCTAAATCCGAAGAGTCCTCGGATTTTATGTCCAAGCTTTGAACCGAGTTATGTCAACCAACATAACACCAACTCAATCATACCGACGTAATCCATCCGACTGAAGCATCCGACCATCAACCGAGGAAACCCCAACCCGACATATCAACCAATTTAATCAAACCGCGTATTCAGCAAACTAATCACCGATTCAATACCTCATCCAAGCCAATACCACCAAGACATTACTTGACCAAGATTTTTGATCTTTGAGGAATCAAGATAAGTGGATTCATTATTTGGTCAAATATATAATCAGTTGGCTGGGACAAAGCATTTTTAACTGACTTAATTCTGCTTTCATCCAAGCTATCATTCCTCATATCCGACCTAATCCATCTCTCCACCGACCTAATCCATCTCTCCACCGACCCAACTGTCCACCGCACCGAGCCAAATCCGCCTCCATCCAAGGTAATCATTTGATTTTTTTCCAAAATAATAATCAACTTCAAAACAACAATCACTAACTTGTTTTAACTTTTAACATCTTCTTAATCTTCTCACTTCTTATCGCCTTCACTCTGCATCACTTTACACTTTTACTTTTTACTACTTTTTATTCACTCACTCACTCACTTCAACACTAATCTCATCAAAACTAACCCATCAATCAAGCTTCAAATCTCAATCAGGCATCAACACAAGATAAACAATCCAGATTCAATGGATTATTCAATTTCAGAATTACTACCATTCCAACATCAATCCTCATCATCACATCATTTAATTCAATCCCATTGGTCCAATCCACATCAGATTTAGATATAACAGACACAGCCCTAGCTTTATTAGTACCTTTATTAGTTTGACTTTCAACTTCACTTTTTTCTTCCTTTTATTGTTTATGATCTTTTTGATTTGGATTTGAAAACAAAGATGGTTTGAACGTTTGACTGGTCATGGTCCTTTAGGATTAATTGATTCTGATGGTCCTTTGGATTTATCTCAATCTGATCAATTTGAACATTCTGAAGCTTTAGAACGTTATTGTTTTGAAGGCATCCGATTAGGTTATTTAGGAGCAAAACGTATGCTGTCCACTCAAATAAATCCATTCAATTTTTGGAATCTGACACTTTTTTTTGATTATGAATCCAATCCATCCTTACCATGCACCGTTCAATCTTGTACTGAAATCACGTTGTCTCTTGCTGAAGGAGGTTGGGTTTGTGTACAAGCTATATGAAGTAGATCCTAAACTAAGATCCTAAACTAAGATTCTAAACTAACTAAACCACCTGTCTTAGGATCCAAAAATTAATTCCAATTTCACCAGCATATATAGATAACAATGTTGATTTCACACGACAAGATCCTTCAATCATAAAGCAAGAACGTTCTACAGTAGATCAAACATATATTTCATTATCAGGCAACTTATATCAATTAAGAGAAGTTATAGAATATTGGTTACTGATTTACAATCTTTCAATAGGTAGAATTGGATGGTTACCTTTTAAATTAATTGAAGAAATTCAAATCAGAACAATCAACGAATTTAATTTCATTCAAAATTGTTTTACTGAAAGATTACAAATATGAAATGATTCAAATCTGTTCCCAAGAATTTGGTCATTTATCAAAAGCGTTCGAAACTATAAACTTATGTTGTAAAACAATGATAGAAGGCTTTCATAACACTACACGAAATATAATATTTTCTGGGCAGAAAATTAAATTATTGATACACAAAAATATTGAGAGGCCAGGAGAAGGGCAAAAAATGAATAAAAATATGCATCTTTTTCCCTGCAGTGAGAGCTTCACTCTCCATATTTTTCCATATTTTTACAGTCTGTATTGATAAGTGTACTAACAATAAACCTTCATAATCATCCAATTACAACCTGTAACAAGCACTGAAATTTGGCTCATTAGTGTTTGGAGAAACTTTTGATTTCTGAAAACACCTATAACTTTGTCAAATCTGCCTCAAAACACTCGATTTGAAGTGCATTAGAAAGCTGAACTCTTCCTCTCGAACTTTCATAAGATCAGGAACTATGTAGCTAGTATGAAAATCATTCTATGGATCTGTATGTACAAATGTATAAAAAAGATGATATCTTTTTTAGCAGACCAGCATGCTGTGTGGTCTTATTATGAACTATTTGGAGGACAATTCCAGCTTACCAATGCACCCAAAATTGAGTGTTTTGGACTGGAATTGAAAAAGTTATGAGTATTTTCAGAAATCAAAAGTTTCTCTAAACACTAATGAGCCA